GTCGACCAGACATTTCAAAACCACAGTGAGTTTTACTAAAGAACTACCCATCATGAAAACGTCAGAGAATATTACGGCACGAAAAATGTCAGTTTACTGGCTGACGTTATTGCTTTTGAATGGAATAAACGTGTATCCGGGCCATGGAAATAGAGGTAATTTTTTATTATTTTGTGTTGAAGATCGACGAAAGAAAAACAATAATATATATTACGACAACGGAAACGAAACAAACAGGTGACTGTTGATTTTGGCCAAATAATAAACACTGAACCTAACCAATGTTAGAACTCGTATGCGTGTTGTTTTGAATTGCAGGCAGAGATAAGTAGGACGCAGCTGCAGGTTTGATTAATTAATTTTGTCTTTTGTTCTATACGAAAAAAAATAATAAGTCTAATAAGTCGTATGGAATATAATTATTCTATGGATATAATTGCTCACGAAATAACAAAAAGTAAATTTCTTTTAGAAAAATAATGTTTATATTATATAAGTAGCACGTGACTAGATATTTTTCTTTTATATGGATATTTGATATTTCATTGCAGTGGTACTATGGTTTGTGAACCAAATTGGTTCCAAGTTCGAATTTAGTGTCTGTTTGATATTTCAGTTGAAGTTCTAAACATTAAAGCATACTCGTATTCTGGTAAAGTTAAATTTTAATCGGATATTTACTTTTTATATTCATAAATCCAACACTCCCTCCCCCCAACTTGATATTTTTCGAAACTTTTATCACCTTGAAAAAAAATTGTTTATATAGATGAACACGACGTATACTGGCACATGACATTTTTTTAAAAACTTTAATTACAAAATTCCGGAACTTGAACGGATAGATGTTCGTCATCCCCCCCCCCGTGTATACAATAACAACAACAACAAAATACTTTAATATTATGATATACTGGTAGTGATTTTCCAACAATATTCGTAGTCGGACGTATCGCGACCGCTGCATACCCGTGGATGATATGCGCATTCTGGGCATTCATCACGACGTCGGTGACCACGTCACTGGCCTTGCGGGCCACCAACTACGAGGAGGTGGTCGAAATGCTGACGTACATCACCGGCTCCTCCTGCACGCTGGCACTGTTCGCTATCGGTGTGCACAAGCGGCCCAGGCTGCACAGGATGCTGGACGCCGTGCGGCGTGACTTCTGGGATGACGGGCGCCGGCCGGCCGCGGACGTGCTGTTCTCGCGGTTTGTGCGAACTTACGGCGCCATCTTGCCGGTCGCCAACGTGATGATGTGCATGACGCCTGTCATCTGGGCGGCCCGCAACGGCGACATCGAGTCGCCGGCCGCTCTCATATTCCGCATGTGGACGCCATGGACGCGTATGACGACCACCCGGTACGCCGCCGTGTACGCCGCCCAGTTTGTCGTCTCGCTGAGCGTGCTGACCAGCATCGCGGGCATGGTGTTCGCCATGGTGCTGTTCGTCACCGAAATGCAGGTACAAGTGGACACGCTCGTCGACGCCGTCCAGGACCTGCAAGTGGACATGTGGTACGGCGACGGCCACGACAGCCCGGTCACTCACCCTGACAGGCGCCGCCGTGCCGCGTTCGATGGTCTAGTCAAGTGCGTAAAACACCATCAGGCCCTCATCACGTGAGTATATATTATAGTGATGGAACCTGGGTCACGGGGTATTTCCCTGATGGGTAGATATAAGTAATCGTAGTATACATAAATACTTTATTTAACTGCCCGAATTAAAATTGTATTTTTCAAAATGTGATCACCCTGTACAAAAGAAATATTGTTTTATCATAAAAGGTACGTCCTAATACATAAATACAATATGAATATATAATACAAGACTAAAAGAATGTATAAAAAAAATATATTATGTTAAGGCATGACTATATTTTATTTATTTATATTTTTAATTGTTTATTTATATATTTACTGTTTATTTACATGGTTGTTATTAAATATTATAATTTATTTATTTATTCTTTTATTATTTATTCAGATTGCTTATATTATAAATTAGTACACTAGGCAGATTTAAATTAAATTACAGTATAATTATGGTCACTATCATTATTTATTTTTCATTATTATATTTGTTTATTTATTTGGGTATTAACTATTTATTTTACCGATTTATTAATAATTTAAAATATACATTTAATGTAAGTTTTGAATTAAAAGCTTAAGGGTAATTTTATTATATGAGACTCGAAACTTACTTTTCATATCTCTAAATAGGTTTCTTTAACAATACCTATTACTAACTCACAATATAATATAAATACAAATTTGAAAAAACTCCAAATACTAATGAGTATTAATAAGTAGTGCTGGGAATAGATAACAAAATTGTTATTTAAATAAAGATAAAGAATAAATATTTTATCTAGATAAAGATAGACTACTTCCACACTGAAGCTGCCACAACATTCGTGAACTTTAAACATTTGGTCTTCTTTCGGTATTTGTAGTATGAACAAAAATACATATTATAATAAAACATAATATTATTTTACCTCGATTGATCATTCTGTTCATTTGCAATTACACGATGGGTGAGGGGGGACGAGCGCAGTCACCAATCAGTATAACCGTAATGTGTGTTACAGTGTTAGTATGTGTGAATTTGGCACCTATTTATAATACTTATAAATAGTAATAGGATAATAATACTGAAATAAACACAAATAGTCCCACCCTTATTGTTAAATTGGCCAGTAGTAATATTTTTATACCATTAGTAATGAAAACAATATCCCATAGAAAATATTAAATAATAACAAATGAAAATTTAAAAATACAATTTTAATTAAAACTAAGCAGTATGTACTCGAATAATTTATCTAAATATGTATACATAAGTAAATCATTTATCTAAGGTAATTTCTCAAGATAGTTGTCAACAGTTTATTTATATTTATCTAGATGAGATAAAGATAAATTGTTATTTATCTAGATAATCCTAACAAAAGATAAGATAGTTTATGAACGAGTAAAAACAAAAAGCTTTGTGCCTTTATAATACAACCTACAACAATAAATCGAGTGCTGGAGTCAATGTTGAAGGTTGTACAAATTATCTTCTACGCAGTTGTGTAGCTATATTGCCTATTCATTGCGCCGTGTTTAATCAATATTATTATTTTTATTCTATTTCAATCAATTATCGTAGTGATTATTTACTATAATATTTTATTTTATTTAAAAATAGGACCAATACAAATAATATTAGTTTGAAGCAAGTATTCACCAATTCATTATACCATAATTACTTTAAAATTCAGTACAATCCAATTAGATATTTCCAAGTCTATTGAATTTCTATAAAATGTAAAACCTAAAAAAAACTTTATTGGTTTCTGATTTAAGTTTCGAGAACAGTAAATACTATTAAATTGCCTGCAAAGACAATTTAGTCCAGTTATATTTTAATTTAAGTTATAACCTTTGATTAATTTACTAAACTCTGAACGATCGCGTGGTTAATAAAAATAAATGAACCGAAAATTATGGTTCAGCCATGAAAACTTTTAGAAAATGAACCCAATACCAGCTAGGATGTATAATTAAAAACAATGGTCTACAATTAAATAAAAAAAGTTGATTTGCATCTTCGAAAACTTTAAAAGCTTTAAAAAAATTGAAATATGCACAATACACACAAAAAAATAGGGGTCGCCCAAAAAAAATGATAAACTCCTCGTTTTTCTTGATCGTAGACATGCCTAACTTGAGTTGCTTATTACGTTACGATCGACTAAAATATAAAAGTACTGAAATAATAATAACGGATGGATTCACTCACGCTGTATGGACATGATAAGTCTAACAATGTATTGCATATTGTGTTGAAAACGATTTTCACGGCACAACTGAAATCGTCGTTGACTGAGAATATATTTTCAGCGGCCGTCTAGTGAACAATAACGCGGAAGAAAATGTTTTTTCTCCTTAAATCATTGTTGCACGAGCAGCGTGATGTTTTATACTCTCGTTAACCAGCTACAACAGCAGTGGAAAAATTAAAATAATCCATCAGCGACTTGGATGCCCACGCGCGTGTAGCTTTTAGAATGTTTTGGTTTTTAATATTCGTTGGCAGAGGACATTGCACCTGAGCTGATTTTACATTTGCAGCTGTACCTACGACGTATACCAATGAACGTGGTAGTCGTCGTCGTTATTATTTGTGTTCAACCGATGTATCCTTTGTCGTAGTTATTATATATATAGTTAACTTTTGTAAACAAAGCCGTGAGCGCAAGGGATATTGGCGGGGAATGCAGATGCGGGGTGGGACAGATACTTTTTCCAGATGTCATAGACTCCCTAAGTCCCAATACAACATCACTTTTTAGAAAAAATAAAATATAACTTGTATGAAGGTACGATCGATATTTAAGTCTTAATTATATATGATAGTAATCATGAGATTCTATGCCTTTTTCAATAAAAAACTTTTTTCAAACTTTTCAAGTTTGTAATTGTGTAATCTTACCGTGAATCGTTCTGATTGTAAATATGTTATCTGTATATAAATTTAAACTGTAGTTAACGAGAGCTTAAACCCGTATAGTCTTTCACAAATAAAAAATAAAAATAAACACGTATTTATAAAAATATCATTTTATTTATAAAAAAAAAAGTCGAAAAGACTATTAATTATTAAGTAGTAATAATATTAATGGTAATCATAAATATTTTTAAGGCAGCGATATGAGCAATTATTTAATGACATTTATATTTTTGGGGACTTAATAATTTATTTTATCTGAGAGCATTACAAAATAGGAAATTCAATATACATCTGTAAAGTTTAAAAATCCCATAATTATTTTAAAGGTGTCAAAGTTAAGCATGCGTTTTTCTCTCTTTATAAATTAAAACCCAATGTGAAATATATATTTTTAAATTACATACAATTGTAATGTTTTATGACATTAATATTTAGCTAAATTGAATAATTTTATATTATTTAATTTTTTTTTTTTCATTTAGGTACTTTAATCATTTCAAATCGTATTTTAATTTGTTATTCATTGTCGACATATTGTACATCATGGTAATGACATGTTTATGCGCTAGCAGCGTATTAATGGCCAATGGTTTTTCAGCGTTTCATATAAAAATGATGTCTCTTCTCATAATAGTGGTGTCTCAATTCTTCTTCTACTGCTTGATTGGCGAACAATTCTCGACAATGGTGAATATAAATAAATAATATGTATGTATAAGAATTATATACTATCCAATGAGATACACTCATGACTCATCCAAAAATCATATTTATCTTTCCAACCATTGAATAAAAGTAAATTAATATATCTATTTCAATCGACAAAGAGAAGAACAATTATGGATATTTTTTTCTGTGAAACTTAAGAACGAAAAAATTATCATGCTAATAATATTTCTCTGAAATAAAAATCGAGGAATCGTAGATATGCTGTAGGGTAGGTTACAATTTACAGTGAAAAAATATTTAAATATTATATTAATTTTTTTCTTGCTTGTTTAGATTGTTCATTTGCGTTTCTATGGTGATATAAGAACAGAACCTAACCCAAGCTTTACTCGAAATGGGTTAGGAAAATTGGTTAGAAAAAAAGTTGTATCCAGCAGAAAAACATAACTATGTTAAGACTATTATAAAACTAAGACAATTACAGAATTGTGAATCTGATTTTTATTTTATAGACAATTGGTGGTTTTAGTCGTTTTAGTACACATTATTATTATAATTTATTTTTCATAAATTACAGAACCAACAAATTGGAGATTGCGTCTATTTTAAACTAGTCAAATGTAAGGATCCAAAGTTGTCTCGGGCTGGTCTTTTAATAATTCTGAGAACACAAAAACCGTTACAATTAACTGCGATGGGCATCACCAAGTACTCAGCTTCGCTGTTCACATTTACAGTTACGATGAGATCTGCTTACGCAGGACTCAATGTGTTATACAATTCTTCATAAGATAACATCAAATTTCAACATCCAGGCACTTATGTATTTTTTATAGCAAGTGGCACAACAGGCACATTTTTTTTTTTTAGATGTTTTTAGTTTTTAAAACTATAATCATAATCTAATCATGAATAATGTATACATATCATAGTATGTAATAACAAAATTGAATAATAATGTTACTGTATATACCTATTGTTGAATACATTAATATAGTTTTTAGGTTTCTAAACATTTGGTTTTATTTTTGTGTGATAACTTTCAATTTCTAATTTAAGTTAATTATGATTAACGCCACCCCTACCCCCGGAGAATTGGTTCTCTGTGGTATGTACTTACAGTAAGTATTATATTAATATAGTTGAATGTACTTGCAGGAGTAGTAAGAGCTATGATGTTTTATCGATCGACCAGCTCGATTCCTGTCAAATGTTTTTCACATTTATTTCAATTAGAATTATTTATAGTTGTCAAATTACACGAAGAGATAATCAAATTTTAAGTTTTAGTAATGTACTAATATTTATTTCCTTGATTTTCACGAAAATCCCGAAACCAATTATTAATTACAATCGAAGTAATTATAAATTCTCAAATAATACAGTGTATGAAAATATATAGTATATACCAACGTCAAAGTGATGGCCGTCTATCGCAAAAGGCGACGTTGCTGTTCCACTGTATGATATCAAATCTATTTATTAACACGCAATCACTTTTTTGAATTACCTGCCAATAGCTCCGCCTGTAGTGTATTAGTGTGTAGGGAAACCATAGATATATCTTTGGAAAGGTATTATCGAGGAGAGTCGCACTAGTTATCAATTTTTTGCCGTTAAAGAAGGTAAAATACAAAATATTGATGCAGCAGCAGTGGTATACACTATACAATCCTTACAACATTTTCGGTAATGCGAAATATAAAAAATAACAACCCAACCAATTCATAGTTAGTTATTATTTATTATTCAAATGAACATAAAAAGACAATGTCCGCATGTTTGTAGCTTATAAAAAAGAAAAAACTAAAATATGAAATGCCTTTTTTCCCTCATAGAATGTTAATATGAATAAAAGGGAAAGAAGCATAAGCACCGATATAGATAAGAAAAAGCAATATTTTAGAGACTGTTGATTTTACAATTAGAATGATTTCGGCAAATGTTTGATAAGCTACCTACTATAGTATAAATGTAAAATACACACGTGAAAACTACAATTTATCTTACGTCGCATAGTAAGTATTTTTAGTTTTTACCAACAACAACATTAAATTATTGTATTATGGGTAACATGATAAATAATATGTATCTAGATCAGCATAATATTGGTCTAAATTAGTTGGGTAGTTGAGTCTAAGGTACTTACATATTTACATAGAAAATTAGAAACTACTTCCATATTTATAAAATAGTAATAATAAACTGTAGACAGTAATTTATGCTAACAAACACGGCATTCGGGTGAAACTATTAGTATTCAGTAAATACTATAAATACCAATAATTCAGAGAATACGGGAGTCATATTCCTACTCGTAGTATCGTCTGGGGCGACGGCACAACAGGAAAAGAATACCCGTTTATAAAGGTACAAAATAAAATTACATTATATATTAAAAATAAAACATACTGGCCGGCGAGAGCTCAAGTATAGGCTCGGAGTGTTGATATACCTACAAATAATGTTTTATGCACACAGGAAATTCGTGTTGTACGCATAAGGTTCATAATATTATATTACTTTACGTGTGTATATATATATATATATATATGTATAATATAGATCCAATCGTAAATGTGTGTTGACTTACAGATGACTCTCTTTGTACATACCGATGTCCTGTATATTACATATTGTGTTCATGTGGAGATCGCCGCATGAGGTGGCGACCTATACATAGAAGGGTAAGTACATGATATAACATGGGTATATGATAGTATATATTATGTGTATATGGACACGCGCGTCTTATGAACCCAAACAATAAACAATATATTTTATAATGTACTCACTCATGTCCCATGTAGCCACTTTGTTTTTATTTTCGTGGTCATCGTTATACAACAAATAATAACAAACTATTATTGGTGCCCGGGACACGTGTGTGTGTGTGTGTGTGTGTGTGTGTGTGTGTGTGTGTGTGTGTGTGTGTGTGTGTGTGTGTGTGTGTGTGTGTG